CCCCCGTGTGACTCCGGCACAGAGGAGCCCGCTGCCCCTTGGCGCTGTCCCTCATCTGCCTCTTCCCAGCTCCTCTCCCATCAAGGTCCACTCAGACCAGCCTCACCTGGCAGGTGTTTTAAACCCGGCTCCCCCCAGCCCTCCAGCCTCCTCGTCGTTCTTCTTGCCCTGCTCAGAACTCCCTCCAGTTTGTCAATAACCGTCTGGTTTGCAGGGAGCGGGGTGCCTCCCAGGGCAGAGTCAGAGGGTGTCGGTCTCTCTCACTACCCTCCCCAAGAGACAGCTGCAGGACTGGGTGGGGTGTCCGACCCCAGCCACCCATGGGCACCCCCATGACCACAACACCCACACGCCGGGATCTCCTGTCCTACAGAATCGCAGCCTTTCCTAAGCAGGAGATTACACAAACCTACAGACACCAAGACACGTCTACACTAAAGCCATCGGCCTGCTCTAGCTCTTGGTCAGGGTGTGTCTTGGACAGATGGGGCCATGTCAGCAGAAGCCCCAATACAAACCCAAGTTCCCCCCTCAAAAATGTACATTTGTCACTACAGCATACTTCACTCCTGGGGCTCCAATAAGCTATCCCCTAGCATAGCATGCCGGTAGGGCTGTGCCAGCAACACTATCCAAGCATAGCCCTGGCCGAGACTATTGGCTTCTGCACAACTCGTGTTCCAGCCTCAACCACCTTTGTTTACCATGGCTTGCCTAGAACTTGGTACCGCACACAGACACGCCTAGTGGTTCAATATCGAACTGCAAGCACCTACCTTTACACATCCCCTTCCCCCATTCTGGTGCACTCTGCCCTCATCAATTTTCCAACTGTTAGTGGTAGCGGCTAGTGTTCTGAAAATCAGTGACCAGAAAATCAGATTCCCGTATCTAGCCATTGACTGGCTGTGTGATCTTGCGCAAGCCACGCCCCTCTCCCTCAGTTTCCCCGTATCTAAAATGAGGGCTATAACTTTGCCCACAATAGAAGAGCTCTCCCAGGCCCTCATAGATTGCAGTAACACACCTGTTATTGTGATTCTGCTCACACACACACACAATCGCACACACGCTCGGAATTTGTACCTGTCTCTGCAGCCGGGGGGAAATCTGTTGTCGGGATCTACGTTTACACGGTGGCTGCTGACTCCCCAGCGTTTGTTCTGCTTAATGCTGGGCAAATTCCACATCCGCAGCAAGACAAGGCTCCTCCTAACTGGTTTCTGCCTTTGAAGTCCCACCAGCCTGACCTCCCCTCTCCCGACACTTTTCCCCCTCGGCTTAGCGGCTTAGCACGGAGCCACTTTCTCGTTTCCCCACGGCAGAGACTTTGAATGTGCTTTCTGTGATCTCGGCACGGAGCAGATTCCAGAGTTAGCAGAATGCCTGAAATTTAACTCTTTCGTGACCAAGGCCCGGCGAGCACGCTATTCCCCAAAAAACTATGGAGACACTCCCCGGAGAAGGAACACCGGCCTGGTTTATTCCTGGCTGCAGGAGCAACACAGCCGGCCCTCCCAGCATCGCCGGAATGGCTGCAGAAGTCCGCCTGTCCTCCGCCTGTCACAAAGAAGCCAGGCCACCAAACTCCGAGTTACCTCTGTCGGCTTGTCTGCTCGTATTCTAACCTGCGGGCTCCACCCTGAGCAGGAGAGCAGCCCCACGGTTACACTAGGGAAGTTAAAAGGCCTGGCCATGCAGCATTCCTTCGGCCCTCCCAGCATCGCCGGAATGGCTGCAGAAGTCCGCCTGTCCTCCGCCTGTCACAAAGAAGCCAGGCCACCAAACTCCGAGTTACCTCTGTCGGCTTGTCTGCTCGTATTCTAACCTGCGGGCTCCACCCTGAGCAGGAGAGCAGCCCCACGGTTACACTAGGGAAGTTAAAAGGCCTGGCCATGCAGCATTCCTTCCTGCCCAGGAATCTCTGTGCCCCATTCACAGCGCCTCCGGCCTGTCTTTATTCAGCA